AAACTACAATCCTTTGTTTGGAGTTCAACAAACTGGGTTTTCCTTAGGGTGGTGGGCAATCAATACATGGAATATTTCCTAAATTTAAAGAAGGCTATTAGACAATCATGCCTTTAACAAATGAGTTGTTTTCAGTGTGTTGTTCAGAATGGTATCTTCTCCTTTACTACCTTCCTAAATGGATTAAATTTATTTCTTTGAGGACACCAGTTACTGGTATGCCCATATTGGATCAACAGAGTGCTATACCTGAGGGTAAATTATCCATCCGGTAGTCACTCAATTCACAGAAAGCACACATTGTTCTGTAAACAGCCTTTTGGAATCTATCACTCTGCATTTAAAGTTTGTTTTAGGATTATTGGTTCCTGTACAACCACCCAAATATATGGATATTCAGTGTTGATGAGGGTGGGTGGGGAGGGCCTGTCATGGCTTTCAGCATCAGACAATCCATTTCTTGTTTTTCAAGGAGTAGCTGCTCCTTGCCCCCGTAGGTCCAGGGTGACAAAGTACACAAAAAATAGTGGGAAAAACAAGAAACAATCCAAATGTCCTTCAACCAGTGAAGGTTGTTGTTGTTAAGTATTATTGAGTCAGTACTGACTCATAGCGACCTTATTTACAACAGAACAAAACATTGCCTGGTTCCATGCCAATCTCACAATTGCTGCTACATTTGCACTCATTGCTGCAACCACTGTGCCAATCCATCTAGCTGGGGGTCATCCTCTTTTTCTCCGACCCTCCATTTTATCAAATATGATCTCCTTCTCCAGGAACTTATCCCTTCTGGTAGCATGTTCGAAGTTGTTGTTGTTGTTAGGTGCCATCAGGTCAGTACCGACTCACAGCAACCCTATGCACAATAGAACGAAACACTACCTGATCTTAATAGTCTGGGCTGCAAGAAATCTTTCAGGGGAAAAAACACCTTTTATGCTCAGATAATTAATAATAAACTGAACTCAGGGATGAGATATGTGGGTTGTATTACTTTACCCCCAAATTTCATTTTCCTCCCAGCTCCTGGAAGGTAACCCCTCTGGAATTTCCTGATTGATTGGAGTGTTTTGTTACTTATGAAGGGCTTCAGACCTCACCTGAGAGCTTACGCTGATGTAAGCTCTCAGGTAAGAGGGGAGCTCATCACTCCAGAAAAATCCATCATATGATATCAGCCCAACCTCCAGGAAAGAAATGGAGCTGGAGAGTGAGTTCAATTTCTTGACCAATGATGAAATCAGTCCATCATGCTTACTGAGATTCCAGTTAAAAATCTGGACAGTGAAGATCAGCTGAGCTTCCTGATTGGTCAGAAACATCAGTGCACTGGAAGGATAATATGTCCTTGGAAACATAGGTGCTCTGCATTGGGAACCCTCCTAGGCCTCACTGTGTGTGCCTCTTCTTTATGCTGGTCCTGGTTTGTATCCATTTTATTATGACAAAACTGTAATCATAAGTATAGCACTTTCTTAAGTTCTATGAGTCATTCTAGTGAATTATCAAACCTGAGGGGGTGATTGTTGCCAAATTGGTTCCGACTTATAGCGACTCTATATAGGGTTTCCAAGGAGCAGCTGGTGGATTTAAACCACCGACCTTGATATTCAAATCAACCTTTCGGTCCAGTGCATTATCCTGCAGCACCACAGGGGTGGTGGGAACCCCCAAATTTGTAACCAGTTCGTTAGAGAGAAAGAGAGAAAGAGATGGCTCTCTTTTCCCCAAGTTTGTGGCTGGTATCTTGGTATCCTGAGAACTTGTAACCAGTTAGTCAGAAGGACAAGTGACCTGAAAACTCCCAAACTTGCAGCTAATATCTGAAGTCTTGAATAGACTTGGCAGACGGCCCTTTAACCTATGAGACCTGTTGGCAGCCACCCACTCAACCTCTGCAGCAGCAGGATTTCTCTGTAAAGATTGTTGTTGTGAAGTGCCATCAAGTCGATTCTGACCCATGTTTAGGGTTTCCAAGGAGTGACTGGTGAGCTTGAACCACTGACCTTGTGATTCAAATGACTTTGCAGTCTGGTGCATTAACCCACAGCGCCACACCAGGACAGCCTAGAAAATCCTAAACCTTAATGAAATCATCTGCTACAGTCAAGTTTTGAGATGAGTACAGAAAAGAATCAGCATAGGATCTGCCTTTGAAAAGGCTACACACAGACTATTGCATAGCCCAAATGAACTGGGCTTCCCCTAAGTCACGCTTCAAAGGAAAAACACTTTTAAAAGCAAAAAGCTTTTATTCACAAAACATTCTCAATATGTCTACCATTGTTCTGAGTACACGAACTCAGGCACCATCACCAGTCAGCAAATGCGTGATGAGTGATCCGAGGTGTAAAGTGCAGTCTGTTTGGGTACTGCATGCACTGTTCCACTCTGAATTTTTGCTGCACATACCAAGGGCCTCCCAGGATCGGAGTTGATTGGACATCTTCTTAGTCCAAGACACTATAGCACATAGAAACAGAAATGTAGATTATGCTTTACTGAATTGTAAAAATATGAAATTGTCCTAAGTTTCTCAACTCATGGGCTAGACAGTATTAAGGAGTTCATCCATGTATTGCTGGCTCATTTGCCTCCACCTACTGATGCAGGTTCTCCATGCACTCACTACCAAAGGCCCCTTCTTCTTTCTGAGTCTATCCCCTGGCATCAGCTCCTGTTCCTCAGATCCCTCACAAGACAGGCAGTTCCATGCTGGTGGCCAGCCTGAGGGCTTGTAGAGCCAGGAAAAGATAGAGCATCTGACAGGATAGATGGAGAAGAGCTTTTTGTGTTTCATATTGTTGGGTTGGGTGGAGTAAGGATGGAGCTCCCCAAACAGCATTACTTAGGCCTGAACATCTTATGGAAGTGTTAGTGGAGCCATGTCTCTCTCTCCCTCTTATCCCAATATTAGTTCAAGACTGTGGCCAGGGATAGAGTTCAGGCACCATGAGCAAACTGTCCTCAGACTTCTGCTCCTCTTTCGCCCTCCAAGTTTATTCTGACTCATTGCTCCCTGATTACATCCCACCCGTTCTGTTCCTCGGACACATCTAGGTGTGTCTGCTCCCCAGCATCCACGCTCAAGCTAGGGCAGAGTTCCCCATTACATACAGTTATCAATTATATCCATGTCCAGGCCAGGCAGAGGAACCTCCTGTACAAGCCCTGAGCTCAGAGACGGCCAGTCTTCTGATGAGTCAGTGAGGAATGAGCCCAGGAGATAAAGGAAGGGCCTCACTATGAAATATGTTACCTTCTTGGCTGTTACCACTCCGTTTTGGTGTCACCTGGAGTTCTGCCAAAGGAACAATCCTGCCAGTAACCTGGTTGCTCTCTGGAGTCTGCCAAAATGAGCCTTTATACTTATGACTAGGAAGTTGAGACTTATTAAGGACACTTGTCTTTATTCCATCCTCCTAGAATATGTGTGCCTGCTAGAGTCCTTCTGGCAAGGCCATCTGCTAATTGATATGGCAGCTTTGTAAAAATCAGAAAGAGCTGCCCAACTCTGCCTCACAAGTCCAGTAGAGGATGGAGCAACAGCTTCCACTGTGCATGCCTGCTCCATTTCCCCAGAACAGACAGCTACTGGGAAAAGGAGAATAGCTTGTCAGAGCCATAAAGACCTACCTTTTCCATATGAGGAAACTAAGTGGGAAGGAACTTGCCCAAAGCCACACAGAATCTGGATAGCATGACAGTGGGGCTAAGGTCTTCTAAAACCCAGCCATACACTTCCTCTGATTCTTTCCATGTATGGTAAGCATTGGATTCATGACTCAATTGGAAGTGCCATGACTTCCTTCCCAGGGAACAGAGCAGTTTTAGGGGCTGACAAACTTCTCTCTTACTCAGTATTCTTATTGCATGTGTTCTCTAGCCTGGCAAAGAGAGAGGATCTCATTTCTGGGTACCAATAAAGAGACGGTTTTAAAAAAAAAAAAAAGGTGAGGATATAAATGGAGGCAGACAACAGAGTATCCATTTCTGCAGTCCAGCCCCCATGACCTACCCCCAACACACTGGGGGAACGGTAGCTCTGGTCTGGCTGGAACAATGGTTTTCAAACTGTATCGTGCATCAGAATCAAAATCACAGATTGCTGGACCTGAGCCCCAGAGTTTCTAATGCAGTGTGTGTCTACAGTGGAACCTGATAATCTGCTTCTCTAACAAGTTCCCAGATGCTGCGGATCCACGGACTACACTTTGGTAATGAGTGTCCTAGAAAAACTGACGGCCCATCCTCCCTGTCTTGCCTGCTTGCCTCCCTCTTTACACTTTTCTGCTTCCTCCTCCATCCATTTCTTGGACTTCTTCCCATCTTTAAAAACATGATGAAATGAACTAGCTTGACCATCCACTAAATGTGCAGTCTGGGCAAGTCTCCTCTCTTCTCTAGGCCCAGGAGAAGCCATGCCTAGACTGTGTGAGGTCCCTTCCAGCGGACTGTAGCTAATTGACCTTTCAGCTTCCTACCAATTCTGACTGGAATTCTGATCTCTTCTTCCTTCCAAATATCTGAGCTTTTCCTTCTGCACTTGGCCATGATATTTGAAGTCTTTCTAGGACAAGATGCGGAAGGATGCTCTGAAATGCCGGGTAGATTGTTGAGGGGCAAGAGCCTCAGAACAGCCCTTCAGGGCCCTTGAGCCGGGGATATCAGGCCTAGGAGAGCAGGTACCTTTTGGGGATAAGCATGTAATGGTTCCTGTCTCTGTACCCGCCCCACGGTGGTCGAGGATCCAGCAGGGGGCGCCAGAGCGAAGACCTAGGCCAGTGTGGTCAGCTCAGGTGTCCAATCTAGGGTAGGGGTGCGCCCTAGGGGCGTGGACACCGCCCAGGCACGCCCGGGCAGCACTTAAGTAGCTGTTGGCCAGTGTCAGGGAGAAAGCAGGGAGACCGTCCTTCTGTTGCTGAGCCATTTGGACTCAGCCCCGAACACAATCCCAACCCGCACCGGACCCAGCTCAGCCAGCTCTAGACGGCGCCATGCGGGGCCCGAGCGCGGCTCTGTGTCTCTTCCTGACCCTGCGCACCGGTGAGGAGCAGCCGCCCGGCCACGGGAGCTGGGCTCTGGGGCGGGGGCCCTGCAGCTCTCCAGCCCCCTGGTCCCGCGGCCGGGAAGTGTGTCCTGAGGCCGCTTCTCCGAAGGGAAGGGAAGGCGCGGGAACTCACACTGAGTTGAGCAAACGGGGATTATTAGGAGAAACGGCCCGCGGGCTCGCTTAGGAGGGCTTCTTGGAGGAGGCGACCAGACCTCGAAAAAAAGAGGAATTTCTGACAGGCCAGGGAGAGACAGATGCATGCTAGCGAGAGGTGGCCTGGGCCTTTGGAGTGATCCGTTGTGTAGACACGTAGGCAAGCTGGAAGCCCAGCAGGGGATGGGGGCCTGAGAGGCTCTACTACTCCAAAGCCCCCGCCCGAGAGGGAGACGTCCAGGGTTCGCTCTTGGGATGATTCGGAGGGTTTGGGGTGGGGGGAGGGAAGACTAGAATGTCGCCGGGAAGACCATTCCTAGGTGTTGCAGGGGTAGGGGAGGGCACGCAGACGAGAAAGCACCTCAGCCCTCCCAGGGTAGCCAGAGCCTGCTTAGTGGGACCTGAGGCGGACCTGGGGCACGGCTCGCAGGAATTGCAACCACGACTCAGCTGAGAGGATAGGGGTTCGAATCGCCGCTCTGATCGCAGGTGGCACATTCTTCATAAATATAAAAAAAACAAATCCACCTCCCCATAGTCTGAGTCTGGCAGTGGTGGACTGGAAATGGGGCTGTTCTACTTTCCAGGGTGGAGGCCGAGGGAGGAGAAGGGTGACAGGAAGGGAGACAGTGAAAGAATCTGCACCTTAGGGTGGAGGTAGGGAGCGCAGGCTGCCTTGGGAGGGCCACCTGGTAGATGACTGACCATTCCCAGCAGTCCCTGTGGGGTGGGAACTGTCCCAAAGTCACGCTGATGCTCCTTCACAATCTCTAACTGGGGCAGGGTGAGTGGTAGGTAGTGAGGCTCTGCAAAGTCATCAGCCCCGGGGGATTGCTCATCCTTCTGCTGGGCCTCCAAGTTGGTGATCTCTGGGACTCTGACCTGGTCACATCATGGGACAGCAGACAAGCAGAAAATCCACGTGTCTTGAACTCCACATAGGTTTACTTAAAACAACACAGAAGGGGTATTTTCTCAGCTACCTTTCTTGGATTTAAAAAAACAGGCTCAGATACCTGAAGTCACAGCTGGGGAAGAAGAAACTTGAAACCGCCCCCCTGCCCTCCCCACCCCCCTTGACTATGCAACCTCCCCTCTGCCCAGCCTTCCCTCAGCAGCAACATAATTGCAGATGCTCCAAGAGGAGACAACACTCCTAAGTACAGTGGCCCCTCATCTCAGCCGCATGGTCACTGCTCACTGAGGAGGGCCCAGGACGCTGTGGAGTGAGGGAACCTGGTCTGGCAGGGATGGGCAGCAACTTGCCAGTCTGTTGACTGAGCCAGGAATCTCCCTCTAGTGTTCCTTCCACCCCAGGTGGTGGTGGAGGGTAGGTGGTAGCAGAGCTGCTACCTTGCTCTTCTGTGTAGGTCCTAATACGTGGTTCCCAGAAGCATCCCATCTGCCAAGGCCCTGTCCCTAGTGAGAAGACCCTGAGTCCAGGGATACCCATGACCCTACACACTTACCAAGAGCCCAGCCCCTTCCCTGTCTCTGTCACCGCTCTGTACCTTGGTTGCCATTGGGAGGGGACATTGCAGGGGGCATTGCAGAGGACTGGTTGTAAGGGCTGACAGGAGCTGCTGGGACCCAACAGAACCCAAGCACCATATCCATGGCAGAAGTCATGGGGTCAGGATGCTGGAAGACTGGGAGTTGGGTCTCACTGCCCCCCAACCCTGCCCCCAGTGCTTGGCAGGATGGAGGTACGGTGGTGCACCACCTCAGACCCTGAGCAGCAGAAATGCAACGACATGAGCAAGGCCTTCCAGGAAGCAGGCATCCAGCCCTCCCTCCTCTGCGTCCAGGGCATCTCAGCTGACCACTGTACCCAGCTCATCACGGTGAGTCCACTCCCTCTGCCAACACAGACAAGAGGACTCTAACTCAGAAAGGCACACACAACAGTCTCATTCACTGGGAAAGGCCAGCCGTCGTCCTGCTGCCAGGGCTGGCCGATAGGATCTTTTGAGTTCTCCATAACAAGGGCTGGCTTGTTCCCGAAGGGGCCCAGACTAAGCAGTGGGAGGCCTCGGGCAGGGTCTATGCTCAGATGGGCGCCAGTGAACAAAGATGTCTGGAGCTCCAGTTTTCCTACCATAAGGGCCTGCTAGAGGGGGACATAATCCACACTATGGAGAGGGTGGCAGGCAGTGGTGCCCCTTTAGTGGCACATGGTGGTTACCTATTCTGCCATAGAGTTTTCCAGAAGAGGACTTCCTGTATTTCTGGGGAAGGAGGGCCTGGGGAGGGGAAGGAAAGCAGGTCTGAATGACACAATCAGCTAACTGGTTTATGATCCTCAGAGGTGAGACTTTATTGGCAGAGCAAGATATGGAGGGAAGTCCAAGGCTCAGACAAGAGGAGATGTGGTTATCATTTTAGCTCAACCATGACCTGCTCTGAGACCTAATCCGATCTGAGTTCCAGTGGCCAGAGCCTTGTGGCAAGCTCCACAGGAAGGGCAGAGACCTGTTATATGGAAATGTAGTTCTTTCCATGAAACCATCGCACACTGATATAGCACTGCAATTTGTGTTTAAAAAATTAAAAGGGGAAAAAATCAAAGAAGTTACAGGGTTCCGTGTGCATTGTTGTTGTTAAGTGCCATCAAGTCCGTTCCGACTCACAGAGACCCTGTATAGAGTTTCCGAGGTTGTGAATCTTAGCAAGTGTAGAAAGCTGTATCTTTCTCCTACTGAGTAGCCAATGGTCTAGAACTGTCAACCTTGTGGTTTGTAACCCAGTTCAGTATGCATGCTGTTGTTGTTAGGTGACATCGAGTCAGCACCGACTCATAGTGACCCTATGCACAGCAGAACAAAACACTGCCCGATCCTGGGCCAACCTCACTACTGTTGCCACACTTGAGTCCATCGATGCTGCCACCTGGCCAATCCATCTCGTTGG